GCTGCAAGGACAGACGTCCGTCGCATGATTTGCTTCACGGCGCCTGGGGCCAGGCAGTGGCAAACGATGCCACCACTAGGGGGTCACCTCCTGAGGAGGGGGTGCAGGACCCCCCCACGCAGGACCCCCACGCAGGACTCCACACGCGCACGCACGCACGCACGCACGCACGCACGCACGCACGCACGCACGCACGCACACACACACACACACAGAGAAGCGCAACCACCCAAGCTCCAACGCGCTCAGAAACGTCCAGAAACCTCCTGGGTCCTCGATCCCACCCTCCTCCTCGATCCTCGATGCCCTCAGGAGGAGGTGCCGACCCCACCCCTCCACCGCGCACCGTGCACGATGAGGCGCAGAGGCATGCCAAGAGCTCTATGGTAGGGTCTCTGTGCTCTGGTAACATGGGGCACACACACGCGCGCACCTACCCGCACCTACCCGCACCTGCTTGCATGCACGCACCGCCCCCCCCTCCCGAGGCAACGACCCCTTGCCAAAAGCGATGGCTCCGCGCGCTCCCGAGGCCACGACCCCGAGACCAAAAAAACGGTGGATCCGCGTCCCGAGCTCCCAAGACGGCCCATGCAGGCAATCCAGGACACCAAGCCGGCAACAGATGCATCGAAGGCGGCCCCGAGTGGCTCCAAGGCGGCAAGACTGCCCCGATGGAGGCCAACACAGCCTCAACACGTACCAAGCGAGTTCCATGCAGTGGAAGCAAAAGATGTCACATGTGACTGTTTTCTTCCTCCTCTTCCTCCTCCTCCTCCTCCTCCTCTTCCTCCTCCTCCTCCTGTTTGTCCTCTACCGCCTCCTCAAAATCATAATCCTCCTCATCCTCCTCCTCCTCCACCTCCTCATCCACCTCCTCGTCATGGTCCTGCTTCTCCTCCTCCTCCTCCTCCTCCGCCTCCTCCTCATCATCATCAGCAGCATAATCATCATCATCAGCAGCATCATCATCATCATCATCATCATCATCATCATCATCAGCATCATCATCAGCATCATCATCATCATCATCATCATCATCATCATCAGCATGATCATCAGCCTCATCATCATCAGCATCAGCATCATCATACTTATCAGCATCATCATCATCATCATCATCATCAGCATCATCATCATCATCATCATCATCATCATCATCATCAGTAACATCATCAGTAGCACCATCATCAGCAGCAGTAGAAGCAGCATGATTTCCACCACCATAAACACCACGATCACCATCATCACAATCATATGCATCATCACACCCACCACCAGCATCCTAATCATCATCACTACCAGCAGCGGCAGCAGCAACAGCCGCATCAGAAGCATCATCATCATCAGCATCAGCAGCATCATCATCAGCAGCAGCAACAGCATCAGTATCACCATTACCATCATCAACATCATCACCACCCTCGTTATGATCGTCATCATCGTCAGCATCAGTACGTATCATCGTCGTCATTATCAGGATGATCATCAGCAGCATCCATATCCGCATCATAATCAGTAGCACCTGCACCAACAGCCTCCTCCTACCCATCATCATGAACTTCCTCATAACCATCCTCATCATCAACCACAGCATGGTCATCATAACCAGCATCACCAGCATCATCAACATGAGCATCATACCCATCCCTGGCATCATAAACAGCCTCATCAGCAAATATCGTCTTCAGCAGCATTAGCATCATAATCGTCATCACCATCATCGTCCTCAATATCCTGTTCATCATCATCATCATCATCATCATCATCATCATAATCATTATCATCATCAGCATCATAATCAGCATCTTTACCATCCTCATCCTTATCGTCATCATCATCATCATCATGATCATGATCATCATCATCATCATCATCATCCTCAGCATAATTGTCATCATACTCATCCTCACCCTCATCCTCATCCTAATCCTCATCAACATCACCGCCACTACCATCACCACCAGCATACTCAACATACTCATCATCAGCAGCAGCATCATCCTCATCCTAATCCTCATCCTCATCGTCGTTATCAGCATCAGCAACATCATCCTCATCCTCATCAACATCAACATCATCGAAAACACCACCATCATCATCATGTACGTCAGCATGTACATCATCATCAGCATCAGCATCAGCATCAGCATCAGCATCAGCATCAGCATCATCATCATCATCATCATCATCATCATCATCATCATCATCATCATCATCATCATCATCACTTTCATCACCATCATCATCAACATTGTCATCATCATGGCCCTCCCAGCCCTCCCGTGCTCCCGTGACGGCCTCCCGTGCCCCCTCGAGCAGCCGCAACCCGGAATGCTGGGCTGGCGCGGCGGCGGGGCTTGCCGCAGGTAGCTGGATACTGGTGACATGCCAGTCACGGGGTGCCGACAGAGTACGACCGCGAGGAGAGGGAAGGGGAAACCCCCCACGAGGCGCGCCCTCTGAGCCAGCTCCGCGAGCGCGCCCCGAAGTGCCCCCCCCTTACCTCCAGCGCGAGGGAACGCTCGGGGCAGACCGGCTCAGGGGGGAGACTTCGAGCAGGAATCGGCGGTGCACCGCCGATAGATCGGCCATGGGCCCCCGATGCGAGCAGGGGATCGCCTACAGGATCAAAACACCGATTTCCTCGCCGTATCCGTGAGTATAAAGCGTATCACGTTCCCACTGCAAAACATTCTGCGACTGCGTGTGTGTCATGGCTTCGGCGAGAAAACCAGGGTTGGGGCAAGTCAACACTGCAGTCGATCCCCTACCCGACCGACAGCAGGGCCGCGCCGGTCGAGGGCGGGGCGGGCTGCCCGGGCCCCGCCGGCGATCCATGGGCGCTCGGGGGTCGATGCGCCCCCCTCTCCTCAGCTCCGACGCGGCAGAAGCAGGAGCAGACAAAAGCATCGCAAGAGATCGCGACCGGAGCCCCCAAGACCCACTTTCCTGCACAAGGCTTCCGGCCTGATCGATCCGTGCGGGCCCTGAAGGGCCCGAGAGCGGGCGAACGCGCCTGGCGTGGAAGAATTGCAGCGACCAGATCTGATATCAGATCTGAGGGCCTCTGAGCCCGTCCCCCCCCCCCCCCCAAACGTTGCCCCTGATCTCGGGGGCGGCCAGGAGGGGGAGGTCCAAGAGGGGGGGGGCGCAAATCATGGCCGGCGGCATGTGCGCCGCCCAGAGGGGGGGAGGCAGGGGACGTAACGGAATAAGAAGAGGCGCCATGACATCTGGGGAGATCTCATGGCCCCCGCCATGATATACCCCCCTCCCCCTAGTCATCACCCCCCTCTTTGCCGCCCCCGACCCCCCCCCAAACCTTGCCCCCGATCCAGGCCCAGGGGCACTTTTCCAAGCGCGGGCGCCCGCGCGGCGCTCTGTCTGCAACGCGGCGGGTCTCTGTGTGCGCGCCTCACGGAGGCGAGGCGCGCCCGAATGGTCTCCGCGGCGCTTCAGGCCGCGAGAGCCGGGCCTGCGGCGCCGCCGCTGGGCGAAGGAGGAGGCTGCGAGGCGGGGATTTGTACAGACCCATCGCCTGGGGACCCCACGTCGTGGGACCCCAGCGGGCGGTGGATGTTGGCACATCTTCGCCCCAGGTGGCGGCGAGTAGATCCGTATCCGCCCCCTGCTGAGGCCCACGAAGGTCAATCCCCCGCACGGTGGACGGTGGTTCTGGAGAAGTCCCCGCCTCGGAGAGGCCCCGTCTTCACGCCGATTGCCTCCTGCCTGCCGCGCGCGCCCGGCCGTCCGCAGCCCCATGGCGGCCAGCGCTACGCCGCGGGGCTCGCCGAGCTTCCCCCTGCGAGGGCCTGCGGGTACTGGGCTCGCTTTTCGCTCCTTCCCGGGCCCCGCCCCCGGGAGGGGGGAGGGGAGAGGAGGGGAGGGATCGGGGGCGTCTAAGAGGGGGGGCGTCCAACTGGGATGACCGTGGGGCTTCTAAGGGGATAACTAGGGGGGTACTAGTGGATGCCAACGTGGGTCATATCTGGCCCAACCTGGCTTATAAAGCGGTTACACGTGCCCCGAGTGACTCAGGGGGGTTAGATAACTCCGCTAAGTGGTGGGCGGAGCCCACTTAGCCCACTTAGAAACCCCAGCGGCATGTGCGCGGCTGGGGGAGGGGACTGGGGACGTTTTGAAATAAGAAGAGGCGACATGACATCTGGGGAGATACCATAGTCCCCGCCACGATATCCACCCCCCCTTGTCATCACCCCCCTCCCTGCCGCCCCCAACACGGAGGGAGGGAGGGAATTGGGAGGACTGAAGGTCAATTTTCCACTAAAGATTTACCAGCGCCGATGCTGAGGAGGAAGCTGCAGCCTCACAGACAGTCAGGTAAGTTGGTACGATTTGAGAATTCGGCCCAACGTCTCAAATCGCACGAAGGCACCAGACTGTCGGTCAGGCCACGCCAGGGGCCTTCGACCCAGCCAGCCTGGGGAAAACAGTTTCAGCGGCAGGTCGCGGGCGATGGGCGCAGCGTCGGGCGCCCGAAAACGGATGCAGGGGCCCCCGCAGAAATTGACGAGGGACCCCGTTCGGGAGTGTCAACCTCACTTCGAACGTTGGATCCAGGTACGGATCCGCTACCCGTCCTATGCGCATCCGATGTATGTTGGACATCCAAATTTTGCGAATTCGATGGGCTTTGGACGGATCCGAACGGCGGTAAAATAGCGTGTTTGGCACGGTCCTGTTGGACCAGCGCACCCTTGTATAAAATGATCTAACGGCAGCGACAGACTCCCACGACGACTTACGCAGGGCCACGGAGCGGGCACGACAGGGGCGGAAGGCACCTTCTTTCTCTCCGCACACAACTATGACCAGACGCTGCTTTCCGCGCCTCCGAACTCCGTCGTACTGCAAAAAAACTGCAGGGCAGCTCGCGGAGACGCCCACGGCACGAACACACAATGGCTGGCTCGAGCGAAACCGAAGCGGCGCCGCATACCGTACCATGCTGAAAGCAAGAGCTGGATTAAACGTCGCTAAAGGCAAACAGGTTGTGTTGTGTTATGTATCCAAGCGGTCAGCCCAAACGGCCGACACAAAACGCCCAGCACGATACGAGACCAGAAAGGGGAAGAAGAGGAAACAGAGCAGCAGCAGGAGGAAGGAAGCAAGGAAGCTGCTGGCTACGAACCGAATGAAACAGAAGTAGAAGCAACCCTGCCAACAGAACCAACGATACGAGTGCGCCCTGGAACGATCCGGCCCACGGTCGCAGCCACGAAGCGTTCTGCCCCGAGCTGGCTGGCCCAACTCGGATTGCAGATGTCTGCGCACACACGCCGGCGGAAGGGGGGGGCGAAGGAGGAGGCCCAGGAGACAGGAGGGCGCGGGGGGAGGGGATGGCATCACAGGTAGAAGTACAAGAAAATGCAGAAATGCTTGTAGTCGAAATAATACGAATAGCCGTGCCTGGCCAGGGAGGAGGCCGAAGGGTGGCTGGGGTCGGGTACTCGCGCACTGGAACGCCCAGTGACCCCCCTGCGCAACGGCCCGCAAGGGGTCGTGCATTGAACTCCGGCGTCGAATTTTTTCGGTCTGAGAGCTCTGGGAGCTGGATTCTTTGAACTGTGTGTCGCCTCAGGCATCGGACCGGGGGTTGGCGCAAGCGTCGGCCTGTGGGTCGGCGCGAGCGTCGTCTGGACATCGGCGTAAGCGTCGGAGTGCAACACGGTACAGGTTTGGGGCTGAGATTCGGTGCAGGCGTCGTAGTGGGAGCCGCCGTAAATTTGTGGGTGAGGGCCGGCATGGGAATCGGACCTGGGCTCGTCGCAGACGTCTTGCTGGAAGTCGGAGCAAGCCTGCCACCGGCCGGTCGGACCTGGAGTCGGGGTCGGAAGAAGAGAATTCTACTCAGGCGCTCCTCGAGAATTTTACTCAGGCGCTCCTTCTAGAGTTTTACTCAGGCGCTCATTCTAGAACTGCACCCAGGCGGCTCGTTCCAGAACGTTCCTCAGGCGGCTCCTCTGGGTTCCACTGTTCTGGCCGTCGCGCGTTCCGATCACTGAACCTCGTCGTCGCCGGCGTCGTCGTCGTCGCCAGCACCCTCTTGAGGTTCAGACCCCGGTCATGCGTTAATTCAGTCAGGCTTCCAGTCCAGGCAACTTCCATCACGCTTCCAGTCCAGACGAAACGTGCCAACTTGACCTGTCTGTCTGCAAGGGAAGGAAGGAGGGAGGGAGGAAGAAAAATAAAGAAAGAAGAAAAAGGAGAAGAAGAAGAAGAAGAAGAAGAAGGACCAACAATAAGGAGGTATGTCGCGATTTGCAGCGTCGGGGGGGAACAAAAACGCTTCTCGAAACTCTCTCCGGAACGGCACTGGACGAGAAGCAGGGGGAGAGGCCGAGAGGCCCACGGGGGCGGGCACGTGTTGGAAGCATACCCCGACGTCGGAGGCCCGGGAGTGGAGCAGGGAGAGGGGGGGGACGAAGCGGCACTCCGACGCGCACGCGCCCGTTTGAAGCTCGTTTTTGGGGGCATCGCTGCGGCCACGGCTCATGCCGCCTCGAGTCATCCTGGTCGGGGCGCGCCCTGGGAGAGTTGAGGGGCTCGAACCTGGTTACAAAAAAACACAGCTTGGGCCGGTGAGAATAGGAAGGAGGGCGAAAGAGAGAGAGAGAGAGAGAGACAGCGAGAAAAAGAGAGCGAGGGAACCGATCGTGTGAGCATGGCGGGCAAGGGTCGGATCCCCGACCGAAGCAGCTGATTCGGGGACACCGCACCCGCACTACTCCAGCACCTTCGAAATCCTTCACCTTCACGTTCTCCTACAACCCGCCCCGTTCCTCTCCCTGCACGCCACTCCTCGTGTTTCTCATCCCCTTCACCTCCTGACCTGGCCTCCCGTCGCAAGGAGAAGGAAGTGAGTGAGGGGGCAGGCCTTGTCGGAAGCGGCGGGGCTGCTCGGAAGCCATCTGGCCTTCTGAGGAGCCGTAGGTGCCTTCGGAGAAGGCTCAGAGAGCTCGCAGAAGGCCGGAGGCCTTCTCTGAGCCTTCTGAGAGGGCCCGCCCCCACTCTGCCCTTCCCCCCCTTTTTCTCGCCGCCGAAACACAATCGTTTTTCTCCCCTGGCTCTGCAGACTCCTGCAAGATCCGGCGCGCCGGCAGACCCCCGTTTGCATTGACCCCCGTCTCGCGGGAAAAAAACACACGTCTGTGGAAAAAGCACACACTGTGGAGAGCCTGTGGAAAAAACACACACGTGTGGAAAGAACACGCAAGTGTGTGTGTGTGTATGTGTGTGAGTGTGTGTGTGTGCGTGTGCGTGTGCGTGTGCGTGTGCGTGTGCGTGTGTGCGTGTGTGCGTGTGCGTGTGCGTGGTCGTGTGCGTGTGCGTGTGCGTGTGCGTGTGTGCGTGTGCGTGTGCCTGTGTGCGTGTGCGTGTGCGCGTGTGTGGCGTGTGCGGTGTGTGGCGTGTGTGTCCTGTGTGGCGTGTGTGGCGTGTGTGGCGTTTGTGGCGTGTGTGGCGTGTGTGGCGTGTGTGTGTGTGTGTGGCGTGTGGCGTGTGTGTGTGTGTGTGTGCGTGTGTGAGTGTGTGCTGTGCGTGTGGCGTGTGTGCGTCTGCGTTGTGCGTGTGCGGTGTGCGTGTGTGCGTGTGTGCGTGTGTGTCTTTGTGCGTGTGTTGCGTGTGTGCGGTGTGCGTGTGTGCGTGTGTGCGCGTGTGCGTGTGGTGCGCGTGTGTGCGCGTGTGCGCGTGTGCGCGAGTGCGCGTGTGCGCGTGTGCGCCTGTGCGCGTGTGCGCGTGTGCGCGTGTGCGCGTGTGCGCGTGTGCGCGTGTGCGCGTGTGCGCGTGTGCGCGTGTGCGCGTGTGCGCGTGTGCGCGTGTGCGCGTGTGCGCGTGTGCGCGTGTATGCGTGTGCGCGTGTGTGCGTGTGCGCGTGTGCGCGTGTGTGCGTGTGTGCGTGTGTGCGTGCGCGTGCGCGTGCGCGTGTGCGTGTGTGTGATCGTGTGCGTGTGCGTGTGCGTGTGCGTGTGCGTGTGGGTGTGGGTGTGGGTGTGTGGTGTGTGTGTGTGGGTGTGTGTGTGGGTGTGTAGGTGTGCAGGTGTGTGTGTGTGTGTGTGGGGTGTGTGTGTGTGGGTGTGTGGGTGTGTGGGTGTGTGGGTGTGTGGGTGTGTGGGTGTGTGGGTGTGTGGGTGTGTGGGTGTGTGGGTGTGTGGGTGTGTGGGGGTGTGGGTGTGTGGGGGTGTGTGGGTGTGTGGGTGTGGGTGTGGGTGATGGTGTGGGTGTGGGTGTGTGTGTGGGTGTGTGTGTGTGTCTGTGGGTGTGTGGGTGTGTGGGTGTGTTGGTGGTGTGGGTGTGGGTGTGTGGGTGGTGTGGTGTGTGGTGGTGTGGGTGTGTGGGTGTGTGGGTGTGTGGGTGTGTGGGTGTGTGTGGGGTTTGTGTGGGTGTGTTGTGTGTTGTATGTGTGGAGTGTGGTGTGTGTGGGTGTGTCTGTTGTGGGGTGTGTGTGTGGATGTGTGTGTGTGGATGTGTGTGGGTGTGTGTGGGTGTGTGTGGGTGTGTGTGGGGTGTGTGGTGTGTGTGTGGGATGTGTTGGAGTGAGTGTTATGTGTGGTGTGTGAGTGTGTGAGTGTGTGTGGGTGTGTGTGTTGAGTGTGGTGTGCGTGTGTGTGTGAGTGTGTGTGAGTGTGTGAGAGTGTGTGAGTGTGTGTGAGTGTGTGGGTGTGTGGGTGTGTGGGTGTGTGTGGGTGTGTGTGTGGGTGTGTGTGTGTGGGGGTGTGGGGGTGTGGGTGTGTGTGATGTGTGTGTGTTGTGTGTTATGTGGTGTGTGTGCTGTGTGTAGTGTGTAGTGTGTGTTGTGTGTTGTGTGTTGTGTGTGTTGTGTGTGTTGTGTGTGTTGTGTGTGTTGTGTGTGTTGTGTGTCATGTGTGTCATGTGTGTCATGTGTGTGTTGTGTGTGTGTTGTGTGTTGTGTGTTGTGTGTGCTGTGTGTGTTGTGTGTGTTGTGTGTTGTGTGTGCTGTGTGTATGTATGTGTGTGAGTGTGAGTGTGAGTGCGTGTGTTTCGTTACACAGACAGGTTTGTTTTCTATTGTACTTTTTTCCAGCAGTTGTTTCTACAGACGTGCGTGTTTTTTTTCCACAGAGCCCCGATCTTCCCCTCACCTCAAAGCCCCGGCTTCGCTCCACGGCTGCTCTACAGGAAGTGCTCGGATTCACCAAGGAGGCATCCCGAGTTCTGCAGGAGTCCTCGCGGAGGTCTCCAGAGCTCATCTGCAGGGCGTCCCTGGAGGCCTCTGGAGGCGTTCTGTCGAATCTCCAGGAGGGGCTACACCAGCCCAAAGACCTTGCGCGCCCAATCCTCGCCCCGCCCTCGCCCTTCCTGCGACGATAACGGGGTCGTGGAACGATTGGCCCAGGATGCGGTTCGTGAATTTCGTCCGGAGTATGTGGCGGCCCGCGTGGAACATCAGGTAATCTTGGAGACCCTGGGAGTCTTGAAAATCCTGGAACGCATCATTATCATGACCTCTTGCTGCTCTGTCGTACAAGTGGAGGCCAGTCCACAAGAAACCTTCCACGAGAAACCAACCCTGAGACCCCAGGACGTCCTTTGACTTTTGGTGTGGGAACGTCACGCTTTCCATAGCAACAACCATCGAAACCCAAGAAACCCAGGGCACCCTGGAGGCAAGCAGGGTGTTTCTTAGCATGGGTCTCCACTGTACGCGCTCCCAGTGGGGAAAGGCCGCTCTCCTCGAGGCACTCCAGGAGGCTCCCGACCTCCTGCTCCACGTCCTGGCCGGGCGCAAGGAGAGCAGGCTCGCGACCAGTGGAGGAGCAGCAGGACGGATCCCGAACGCCCCCCCCTGTGACTGCAGTGGAGATGAGCAGGCATATCGCCAGCGGAAGCACAGTCCCCCTAACGATTCCTCCTGGACGAGTGATCCCCCTGCCCTCCATCGGGAGAGGCGCCGACCCTCTGACGAACTAAATTAAGGTCGGGCCTGCCCCCCTACAGGGGGGACTCTGGGCGAAAAAGGAAAAATACCCCAAGCATATAGCAAACATGTAACAAATAATCAAACATCGTCCCCGGACTATAGTCCCACCAGCCCTCTGGGCGTAGGTGGTCTAGAACAGATCCTCTTCCACCCCTCCCTCTTCCCCCTTGGGGAGGGGTTTACCCCTCCCCCTACCCCCTCCCCTGGACCTGGACGGAGGGTTTCGCGAGCGGTCGGACGGCTCTTTTGGCCCCAAGATGGCTTCAAGAGCGCGTCAGAGAGCCCAAGATGAGCTCCAAGATGGCTCAAGATCGCTCGAGATGGCTCCTAAGATGGTTCCAAGAGGCCCAAAAACAGCCCCAAGACGGCTCCTTGTGGCCAAAGAGCTCCCCGACGAGGCCCCGACGAGGCCCAAAATCCTCCCAAAACCCAAAAAAAATAATGTTTGTTTGCTTTCTCGCCTTTTCGCTTCCGATGGCCATCCGAGGCCTCAAAATGGCTCCAAGATGGCCCAAGAGGGCCCCACAAGAGGCCCAAGAGAGCCCCAAGACGGCCCCAAGAGCGCCCAAGAGCGCTCCAAGAGCGCCCCAAGAGCGCCCCAAGAGGCGATGTTTGGAGCTCCTGAGGGGGGAGGCTAATTAGGGAACCCCCCTTCGTTGATCGATCTCCTCCAAGATGGCCCCAAGAGCGCCCCTACAGCCCCCAAGAGCGCCCCAAGAGGCGCCCAGACGGCCCCAAGAGGCGCCCAAGAGGCCTCCAAGAGGCTCCCAAGAGACCCCCAAGAAGCCTCAAGAGGATCTCCGAAATGCATTTAAGACGCTTCTGGCTCTTCGGTTCGCCGTCCTCTTCAATGTTTCATCCCCCTCTTCCTCCTCCTCCTTCTCCTCCTTCTCCTCCTTCTCCTCCCTCTGCTCCTTCTCCTCCTTCTCGTCCTCCTCGTCCTCTCCCTACTCCACATCCTCCTCCTCATTCTCCTCCTCCTCCTCCTCCTCCTCTTCTTCCACCTCTCCCGCCGACGAGGATTCCTTCTCCATCCTCCCCCTGTTGGGGTACGTGACAGCTTCCCCCGCCCTTTGTTATTCTGCATGCTCCCCGACTTCCCTGATCACCTCAACTCCCCTGGGCATCGTTTCTGGATAGGCTGGTGGGGATACGCGAAGCGTCAACAATCTAACTACTTCTGAATACTCCTCATGTAGAGGGACAGGCCCGACTTAAAACTGAATGCCAGCCCTGGCCCCGGATCTTGGATGTGTGGGTATGGATATGCCATTCGGGCCCAGGGCCTGGCCGTGAACCGACGCACCAGGACCTCTGACACAGCGCAAGCGCTTGGAGAAGAGGAAAGGAGAGAGAGGAAAAGGAAGAGAGGGAGGAAAAGGAAAGAAGAAGGGAGAACACTCTGGAGCGTTTGGAGAGGAGGAAAGGAGAGGGAGACCCTTTGGAGGACCACTGGGAGAAGGAGAGGGAGGAAAAGGAAAGAAGAAGGGAGAGGAAGGAAGAGGACCAGGGAGAGACAACGCAAAGTCCTGGGACCGGACAGCACCCAAAGGCTTGGCGGCGGCAAAGACGGCAGGCGGCGGGCTCTTGCCTTGACGGCGTAGGCACTGGCTGCTGTCACGGAGCGACACGTTCGACACGGAACGATCTCCTTTCTTGCGGCTCCCCAGAGGCTCGCGAGCCAACCTTTCCTATGGCTTGCGCGTCGTGGGCTCCCTCCTGTGCGCCCCATCGGGGATCTACTGACCCTGGCCAGTCCAAGCCAGGGTCAATCGGGCCTTGCAGGATCCTGCAAAATCCTGCCCGCTTGGTCCGTGCAGCCGGCCCTGCAGCATCCTGCAAGATCCCGCGCTCTGGCTGACCCCGTTCCCAGACCCCCGACGTCATGATGCTTTCGTGACGTCGACCCCCAGAGGTCTGGACCCCTTCCCCAGGACCGGTTTCTCCTCCCGAGTCGTTGTTTGACGGTCCCGAGGCCCAGCGCGGTCCCCCAGAGGCCGAAAATGGCGAAAAACCTCCCGTCGTGAGTTGTTCATTGCTCGAAGGGGTCTGGGTTTGCACCGACCTCGGGGATCTTCTGACCCGGGTCAACCCAAACCGGGGTCAGTCAAGCCTTGCAGAATCCTGCAAAATCCTGCACCCAAACCCGGGTCAACGCGAAAGATCCTGCAAGATCCTGCAGGATCCTGCACCCAGACCCGGGTCAATGCGACCCTGGCTCTGCAGGATCCTGCAAGACCATGCGCTCTGGCTGACCCCCGTTTGCACTGACCCCCGTCCCTTGAGCCCCGACCCCTCTCGCCGCAGCCCCTCCTGTGCGCCGCTCCCTGGAGCAAAGGAGGAGGAGGAGGAGGAGGAGGAGAAAGAGGAGAAGGAGGAGGAGGAGGAGGAGGAGGAGGAGGAGGCAAGTCTCCACTGATATTTCACACACCAGGCAGAAAAAGGAAAGGGTGGTGGAGGGGACAGAGGATGGAAGCTTGAGCAGAGGCGATGGCAACGGCATCGCGTCGGCCTGGTCCTGCGGGGCAAGGGCAAACACGTTTAGAAAACAAGGGCATGCCCCGGGCCCCGCGCCTTTTCCAGGCCAGATCTTGTGTCTCGAAGCGCAGGCTGATCCGCCCACCGGGTGAGAGGCGCAGATGGGCTGCGCGACCCTCTCGATTCGTCGCCGGCGAGTCTCCATTCCCCAGACTGGATGCCTGGCAGCCGACAGAGACCTGCACGACAAAAAGAACAGAAAAGAATGGCGTGGGCATGCATGTGGGCACACACTGGCTACAAGATGAGGCGTGCACACCTGGCGTGCTCGATGCTTGACGCGCTACTTACAAGCCATCTAGCTAGGGCACGGGAGACGGGCTTGGGATATGGCTCAGCTAGCTGTGTCCATTTCTTTCCGCCAGGACCGTTCCCCTGGAGCGTGATATGCCCCAGTCCCGTGGCCGAGCAGATACCGTTTCTTCCAGAGCATCGTTTCTGCAGGACCCAGGGGGCACGGCCACAACACCACGCACAAAACCTGGTCGATTTTCTCCATCTGGTCCCGTGCTGGCAGTAGTCAGTACATGTCTCTACACAGTTTCGAAGCGAGCGAAGGTGGTCCTGGACGGGTTCCTTCCACACGAGCGAGGTCAAGGGGTTCTCCATAATGACTGGGACTCCGTATTTGAGGCACATCATGATGATCTGCTGGCTATGCTTCACGGTGATGTTACCGATGAGGACTCGCTGCTTCGCTCTGCTATCCAGCTCGCTTCGACCATATATTGAATTCATATCTCTGTAGTACCCATGCGATGCATTCGACCATGTTGAACAGGGAGGAGCGAGAAATACGCCTCGAACGACCCGACTCGATATCCAGCCTCTGATGATTCTGATGAGGGCAGGATTGGTCAAGTCGAAGGCTTCGTCGTCGACAAGATCGAGATACACGACTCCCCACTCCCCCGTCTTCTCCAACTCCTTACTCACACTTCTGCTCCCAGAAAACAAATCGAGAAAAACCTGTCGACGTCTCCCTCGACGCAGAGCCTCGCGAAGTGCACGTTGGCACCTACGAAGTAGAACGGAATACGAGACGCGGCGTACGGCTTGACCGGTATCGCCCGCCTTCCACACACAACCTGCCTTCAGGGGGCCGTCGCCATCAGCGTAGCGGGGAGCGCCGGCTGGAACTTCCCCGTGATCACCTCTGCCAGCCGCTCGCTCACCTGGTGCCCGTAGCTCAGGATGGGCTTGGGAACGGCTGCCAGCTCTGCCAGATACCTGGCGTGCTTCGCGTACCGCTTGCTGGACCGGTCGGTGGCGCGCCTCAGGCGGTGCTGGATGTCTGCCAGCGCCCGAAGCCCCTCGGCCGCATCGCAGCTCGCTGCCCCGTGGCGCACCTGGTACGGGTGCGCCGTGTCGTGGCCCAGGGCGCGGAATAGCGCGCGGAACTTGCGGCCGAACTCGTAGGCCGTCATGCTCCACACCCGCCCCTCGGGCCCTGCCGCGTCCTTGAGCTGCTGCAGGCGGCGCCCGATGGCCACTGACATGGCCGACGTCAAGGTGACGCTCTCGTCGAACTGGCCCGCCTTGCTCCGCAGCGGCTGCTCCTCGGGGTACAGCAGGAGCGCCCACGCCTCCCCAGCCGGCATCGCGCCCCCTGGGAGGCGCACAGGCGGCACCAGCGAAGCTCCCGTCAGCTGCAGGAGGTCGCTGGGGAGGCGCAAGTAGGTGTCCCAGCTCAAGCACAACGCAGTCGCCATGTCGCGCCACCCCCACAGAGTGGCCAACCCCACAGCGGCGAACACCAGCGGCTTGGGAAGCGGAGCCCGCGTCTGCCCGTGGCCCAGGCGGCGGTACCCCTTCATGGCGGCGAGCGTCGCCTCCATCTTCCCGTGGTCGCCGATCCCTGCCTTCGGGAGGAAGTACCTGAGGGCGGCGCACAGCTTGTCGGCGCGGTCGTGGTTGTAGCCCGCGAAGAACAGCGCATCGAGGTACAGAGGCATCATGGTGTTCACCTGCTCGACCGTAACAGGGGTCACCCCCCGCTCCTGGCACCACTGGCGGAACTCGTCCCACTCGCGCTGGAAGTTCCTCCTCGCGTGGTGCCCCACCTTCTCGAACTGCAGCACCGTGAGGCCCAGCTGCTGCGCCGACTTCGCCTTGAAGCCATGCACTCGCCGCCGGTGAGCTGCTCGGGCCTCCAGCTTCGCTGCCGCCGACATCCGCGAGGTCGACGGCACTCTCGCTGCTGCTTGTCGAAGAAGAGGTGGAACTGTCACTCGAACTTCTGGCCGTCGTCGACCC